TGGAGCCTGCTTCAGATTCTGTGTCTCCCCTCTCTCTGCTCCTCCCCTGCTCACACTCTGTCTCTCTCTCACATACATAAATGAACATTTAAAAAAATTAAAAAAAAAAAGAAACATGTTTCTCTATATCTAGAGACTTGTAATGTTTCAATGAATTTATGGATGCAAATGAAGTAACTTTTCTGTCGGAAACGCACATTCCAAAGAAAGAAAGTGACAGTTTATCATTTATTCCACCAAACACTGATGAGGGTGGTAACTGTGGCCGATGTGCTCGACAAAGATGAGTAAATCCAAGCCCCTGTGGACAGCCAGGCTTCCCTTCTGGGACCACTAGGGACCCTATGCTCATGCTCTTTTATACGCGTGTCACTTGCAGTAGTAAGTGATCTTTACAAGATTATGGCTTCTAGTCCTACCTCACGTAAATAGCAGTGGCTTTGGAATCAGTAAGACTTGGATTCAATTTCTACCTCTGCCACTTACCAGCCTTGTGTGATTCATTTCTCTTCACCTTTGTTTCCTCATCTGTAAAATGGGACCACAATTCTTGAGAGTGTCTGTGAAATGAGTGACACTCGTGGAGTAACCAGCACGGGGCGTGGTAGGCATTCCAGGAAAGGGCTCTCTTCCACACCTCGGCTGGACTGTCAGAGCCACAAAGGCGAAGTTTGCGGCTTCTGTTCATTTCTTAAGTTATCCATATGGGTTTTCCTTTCCTCCTTTTCTGCCTCAGTTTCACCCGATGATTAGGTCTCTAACAATTTAATATCATCAACTACCAACGATCTAAGTTTGGTACTCTGCACTGTCATTTCATTCAATGTGGCAGGAAAAACAGCCTAAAACTTAAACTTCCAGAGTCTCCTATGACCACTGTTTCTCACCAGAAACATCTAAGAGGCAAAGTATTCCCTTTTATTTATTTTTATTAAATTTTTTTTAGGTTTATTAATTTTGAGAGAGAGAAAAAAAGCAAGTGTGCGCGGGCAGAGAGAGAGGGAGAGAAAATCCTGAGCAGGCTCTGCATAATCAGCACAGAGCCTGACAAGGGGCTTGAACTCACAAACTGTAAGATCATGACCTGAGCTGAAATTGAGTCAGATGCTTAGTGGACTGAACCCCCCAGGCCCCCTAAAGTATTCCCTTTTCAAACCTTGAAATCTGCACAATCTCACTTTTCATCAACTTAAGGATGCTAATTCTCTCATCTTTGTCTTATTTTATTTAAAAAAAAAAAATCCAAGGCAGGGAATTTTTCCAAAAAAAAGACAAGGTTGACATTGATAGAAAACAAGTTTAATTAAAAACAGAGGACAGTAGCAGTAAATATAAAACATAAAATCCAATATGCGGGGAAGTGTGGGAAACCCTGGGTTGCTGAAAGAGCTCAAGGGAGCTGTCATGCAAATCAGAGTTTCTCAGGCACCTCCTCAGAAGCACAGGCCTAGCTCTTGGCCCCAGCACCTTATTAACACAGGAGCACACAAATGTGCATTCAAACACGAGCACACATCCAAATACCCACCCCTGCATACACGTGGAGACACACACCCTGATTTAGCTCTTTAACCCAGTTTGCCTCCCTCTTCCCTGAGGGTTTGAGAAAGAAAACTGTCAGCCTAAGCATTTCACTAGGGCTTACAACCCAGTGTGTACTGTCTGCCCCTTCCGGGTTTACAGTAGCTGTGGGATTAAGGGCCATCTACTTCCTGGAGTGGACTCCCAACAGACAATCAAGCAGCTGGCTTCCCCCTCCACTGTCCATTTATGAAGTTCAGACCTTCCCAACCATGGAAACTTGGCTGCTGCTTTAAGGACGTTTCATACTTCAGGTCGGTGGAAATCAAAAGGAAACCCTGAAAAGGATGCAAGGGTGAAGACAACGTCACACTCTGTGGACCCGCAGCCATGGGCTATCTGAGTTTGCTGAGGAGTGAGGGAGAGATGGTTTCTTTATTGGGTTCTTCTGGGTCAAACCCACCCTGCCCCCATCCCCTTGTGAGTGCCTCAGACATAGGAGCAGGCCACTTGGGATAACTGTCACCTTATGAGACTTAAGCGACTATAGAAGGAGAGGTGGGGAGGGAAGGGGGTGGGCAATAGTGTACAGGATTGGAAAATTCCATCAGAATCTTACTTCCACCCCCGTCCCCCCCACCAGAAGTGTCAAAATGGAAGAAAAAAGTGTTCTGAAGCTTGTTTATCACGATTAATGAAGAAATAGCTCACAACAGATCCTGAACCTAGAGGAGGGTCTTTGGTTCAGGCAAAAGTTCAATGAGAGAATAAATGAAACAGACACACCACAGTGTAGCGTCTCGTACTGTGGTGTGAATAGGTCTGGCTGTGAAAGGAAATCAGACTTGGGTTGATTTTTCAACTCAAGTTTAAATGCTTTTCATAGTTGACTGCAAACTTTAAGAGCTAAATGTTTTGTCTGTAAAATGTGGGCTGGAAACACACGAAGCAGAACAAAATAGCGTAAAACAGAGGAAGCAAATTAGGAAGAGGCTTATTCTAGTATGGAAGAAATTGGGCAGTTAGGAGAATATTCACATTCTTACCTCAAAAACTTCAATATCTGAATTGACAAAGGAGATCTTGTGTGGGTTGGGCAGGGGAAATCCTTGCTGCAATTTTGCTAAAATATAGAACAAGGTGTAAGATAACTAGGCACAGACACAGCAGTTTTAGCAAACTTTTTAGTAAAGGACAAATAAGCAGCTTTTAAATAATATATCTTTTGCTTCTTCCTGATTTCTGTGTTTTCATTCTTTGTCCCTAGCATTTTCCTAGATGAATGCTTACTTAATTAACAAAGTGCTTAATAAAAATGCACATGCAATTATGTACATTTGGATGGCAGAAAAATGCTGGCAACTTGTCCAGTTTATATTTTGAAAATTCCATAATTTGTAGGTCTGAGAACATTTTGGTCTCTGATACAAAGTGTATTTTATTTAAAAAAAATTTTTTTTTAACATTTATTTATTTTTGAGACAGAGACAGATCATGAACGGGGGAGGGTCACAGAGAGAGGGAGACACAGAATCTGAAACAGGCTCCAGGCTCTGAGCAGTCAGCACAGAGCCCGACGCAGGGCTTGAACCCACGGACCGTGAGATCATGACCTGAGCCGAAGTCAGACGCTTAACCAACCGAGCCACCCAGGCGCCCCTACAAAGTGTATTTTAACCAAGACAAACTCAAGATGTTGCAGTTTGTGAATGGTTGCATACAGGGAGAGGGACTAGGATTGTCCTTCATTAAAACTGTCTATCCAGATGGTGGCCTGTGTATAAAACCACAGAGATGCCCTCTAGGGAGAATAGTCTCATTTCTGCCTGACCTGAAGGAGATTCTTTACTGCCTCAGGAGGGCAGTTTCAATCTCTTTAACTCAACCAGAGTTTGACTGTTCTTGCTGAGTTCTGCAGGTAGTGTTGTTAACAAGGCTTGGACTGGAATAACTAATTTTGCAATCACATCATTGATGGTACAAACTGTAAATTCTGGCATTGGCCTGGATTTACAAAATAACGTGCTACAAGTACAGGCCTTGGGGTGGAAAGTCCCAAACAATCCCCAATGTTTGATTACCTCAAAGTCACATGTTCCCCAGAATGTCTTACCGTTGGCCAGTGGGAGGATACCAAAGTGGAGAATGGAGGAGAGAATATTCTCAAACCTCAAGACCTAAAATGAAAGGGGATACTAAATCAGTTGCCAAATCCTGGCATTTTGAAAGTACCATGCCTGGTCTGGATGTGCACTTCCCCAGACCTTATCACGACAGAGGGCGATAGTTACAATCTCCCCATAGAGACAGTCTCGCTTTCCAGACACTGAACACTATTTTGCAGGAAAGCATATTAAACAGTTTCCCAATCTTTTTTCCTCCTTGAGGATGGACATTTCTGCTCTTTGGGTATGCTAGATCATGGTGACAACAAATGTAGAGGTACCACACGGTGGCAGCGAACATGGCAATTAAGATATTTACCAAGTAAAACCATCTAAACAATTGATAAATATCCCAATTAGTAAGTAGTCTGCCCTAATTGAGTTGCATTATGTTATGTTCTATATTTAACAGTCTCACCAGAACATCCAGTTTATCTTGAGTAAACTATGGTAGTAAATCTTAGCAGAGTGTCAGCTCCTGGGAAGGTTCAGGTATTAAAAATAAATGGACATGATGAACATCGATTCACTCAATGAATATATTTTGAACATCCTACATGCTTAAGCAAGCTATGCAGCCTAGCAAGGAGGGCTCTGAGGCTGCCTTCCTAGGTTTACCTCTTGTTTTTGCCACTTAGGTCATGTTGGGAAAGTCTTTAACCTCTTTATGTCTTGGTTTCCTCAAGTGTAAAATAAAGATAAACAGCATGAATGTCACAGGGTTGGTCTCATGTTTAAACAAGTTAATATTATGTAAAATGTCCCGTATTAACCACTGTCATTTGTTTCAGAAATGTCATTGTTAGCATTCTCTGTTGTTGATCCTAAGCAGTTTTTTGGGGGGTCTTCCTAGAAGACTTGGGACTCATTTGCCTTCTCTAGGCTCAGAAAATATTTATGAGAAAGTCAGCTATACTTTCTCACGGACTATAGTTTGTCTTCTACCAAAGAGCTATGCTACGGAGGTGCTAACCCACAGTGCGTGAGACAATCTTGGTATTTTAAATTTCAGTGTCTGGCATGAAAGATGTTATTTCCAGCACTGTTGCCACTGGCTCCTATGTTCCCAACCTGAAAATCAGGATGCTCCTATAAAATTAAACAAACAAACAAACAAACAAACAAACATCTTGTTTGGTCTCCTGGATAAATTCTCTGGTTTCTTCGCTATTTTCCGCAGTTCTATTTCTCTCTTAGTGGCTGCTTCTGGTGAACATGGTAATAAATTCAGTACTTACTGTGTCCCAGGACTGCCCTGTGGGGGCTTAAGTGACCTGGCCAAGGCCACAGAGCCAATAAGTGGGAGTTCACTCTAGCAGTTTGGTCTCAGAGTCTGTATGGGTAACCGTTATGCTATACTGCCCCTTGACACAGAGGTGGTAATAGCTGAAATGAATTTTTGTAAAAACAATGGCCATCATTTATTTAATGCCTGCCATGTGTTCAACGTGCTAACTAAATTTCGTATATAATCCCAGCTAATTGTCCCAACAACCCCAAAGCTGTAATCACCACCTCCATGTTTCCTTGCACTACTGATTCTCTTGCCCTGACTTGTCTTTCTCTATAACATTTTTCAGCACATACAATATAAATTTGCTTGTCGTCTCACCCTACCCCTGTCTCACTTACACATACACACGCATACTCACGCACTCACTCACTCACTCACACACGTACATTCTAGAATAGGACTGCCCATCATTGGCAGTATTGACACTTTGGGAAGGATTATTCTCTGCTGTGGCGGTTGTCCTGTGCACTGTGGGATGTTAAGCAGCATCCTTGGCCTCTACTCACTAAGTGCTTATAACAACCCCCAGATTGTGACAACCAAAAAATGGCTTCAGACATTGCCAAATGTCCCCAGGGCGGGGGAGGCGAAACTGGACTTAGGTGAGAACCACTGCTCTGGATTATGTGTACCATGAGCACAGGGACATCAATTAGTGATTTGGATGATCTCCCGTTAGTTTGGGGAGGGGCTTGTTTCCATGAGATAATACTCTTCCAATCAGGAGGTCACCAGGCTGGGGCCCCCAAAAAGGTATCTGCACGACCAGCCTTGATACGATTTTGGGAGATGGCTAGTAAGGCTTCAAAGAGCAAACTTAATCATGGCCTAAGAATTTACAGATAGCCTCATCTTTGGGAGTTTGGATCTTATATTTAATTCTTAAAGATTCTTTATCCAAACAATGAAATACCCCTGAAAATGCCTGTTTCTTTTTCTCCCAACATTACATAGGTCTTACTTTTAAAAAAGTTATTTTAAGTCTTTCTGAATTGATAAAAGTGAATTGGAGAGTTCCTGTCCTGTTTAAAAGTTAATGGGGTTGGTAGACAAGTAGCTACACGAGGAATTTTAAAGTTAAAATCTATGTTCAAGGGGAAACTAAGGACTCAGGGGCTTAGAAAACAGTCATCCAGCTACAATATAGGAAAATTCTCAGTTTTCCCTTGACAGAGAACCCTGAGAGCTTTGACTCCTACCTCAATGTTGCTGCGATTGGACTCTGGTAAAGAGAGGCGGAATCTGAAACAAAACAAAACAAACAGGAAAATTTTAAAGGATGGAAGATTTAAAAATGACCATCTCAGTAGAAAGGCACAAAAAGGAAAGGGCATTCTTTTTTAAGGTCCCTAAGCCACTACTTAAAAAAAAAAATGCACAGACTTGTAAGGATATAATGTTCTATTACATCTTTATCCCTGTATTTGCTACTTAGGAAGCAGAGCAGGAGTAGCAGAAGGCTTAGGTTTGTAACCAGGATGGATTTCTCAAGTGCATTTGCTATGTGGGACTTACTGATGGCAACTCTAATGCAGCACAATCTTAAGAAACAGTTTTCAGTCTCCAGCCATACCACCCTGAATGTGCCCGGTGTCATCTGATCTCTGAAGCTAAGCAAGGTGGGGCTTGGTCAGTACTTGGTGGGGAGAAATAGTGTGCACAATTTCTTGGTCTGAACTCCCAGAGTACACATTTGATTTTTCTGTGCATAGTAATAGTAATATGAAGCAGTAGTCAACAGGGAGGATCCCATCATTTCAAAGATGGGGAAACTGAGGCCCACAGAGGGGAAATATTAATGGCAGATTTAGGACCAGAACTCAGATCTCTGGATGGTCATCCCAAACCTCCCTTCCATTGTAGGATATTGTCTTACATTGCTTTTCCCCTTAGCTTTCCATGGCTCACTTTTGCCCAGGTATAGAGCTTTACTTCTGCATCAGCCTTCTAATGCCTCTCCCTGTCTCCAGTCTGATCTCCAATCTGTCTTCCACACCATGCCCAGAGTCAGCTATATGAGAGGGATGTCTGATGAGGACACGCTCCTGTTCAAAATTCTTTAATGGCTTGTGATAGGGTTCAACTCACTTATATGGCACACAAGCTTTTCTGTTTTCTGGTGTCCAGTTACCTCTCTGCTCTCACTTCTGTTCATTCTCCACCTTGAACTTTATATTCAAGAACTCTGAACTGCTTAGTGCTATGCTGTTTTATTAATCAGGCACCATATATCCGAGGTTAAAAAAATATATTGGCTTTAGAACACATAACAAAAAATCGTGAATAACTAAAATTAACACACGCCCACAACCAGTAACATTATGGCCACTCAGCACTTTAACTCAACTCCACTCATGGGTAAATTTAGATGACATTAAATGTGGAATAATGCACTTGAATATATGCAACATATTTTGGGCTGGATTCTCCAAAATTAGAGTAGATAAGGTCATAAATATCTTAAAACAACTGTAAAGTATTTCCTTGCATATTCCATGTTTCTGGCCTCCATGCTTTTCGCTCATGCTGTTCCCTCTTTCTGAAGTTGGCCCTCCCCTTTTCTTTGACTGGTTAACTCCTTTTAATTGCTTAAGATTTAACTCCAGTGTTACTTTTTCCAGGCATCTTTATGTTATTACATTTAAGGAGCGGATAGATATTAATAGAAGAGGTAAGCTTGCTTGTTATCGGCCAATATCCTGTTATTACGAATTAAGTTTTGAGATTGCTGCAAAGTGACAGGCAAGAGTAAAAACCAAAAAAGACGGTTAGATCTGACAGGGATCAGAGATGGCATCAGTGGCACCGTGGCTCAAGTGGATCTCAGTGGGAAGTCAAGACCAGAATCCTTAGGGCATCTTTAGTAAAAGGCCAAAGATTTATGTGATCTGAAGAGAAACCAGAGTACAGGGCATCTTTAAAGGAGGAAGGTGAGCAGTTGAACAAACACTTGAAGGCATTGCCGGAGAAATGTGAGGGGGGAGTGTCTCCTCTTGGCCAAACTGCCATTTATGATGGGCAACCTAGGCCAGGTTTTAGAAAGTCATCTGACTGAGAGGTGGAACACTGTAAATTTCTTTCTTTCTTTTCTTTCTTTCTTTCTTTCTTTCTTTCTTTCTTTCTTTCTTTCTTTCTTTCTTTCTTTCTTTTCTTAAATACTTTATTTTTGAGTAATCTCTTAAGTTATCTCTATACCCAACACGGGACTTGAACTTACAACCCTGAGATCAAGAGTTGCATGATCTGACTGAGCCAGCCAGGAGCCCCACGCTTGGAATTTCTGTCATCACAACTTCAAGCCACGACTGGCTGTCTCAGGATCACCTGCTGTGAGTAGAGCTTGTCTGGAGTTTCCCATGAACTGATTACCCTTTCCTCCTAAGGCCATCTTTCTTCTATCTGCTTCCTAGTTCTCTAGGCATACTTACCAGGTTAGTTTGCTAATGGACACGTCTTACTAGCTGCAGAGAAACAGGTGGAGGAGCAAAGAACAAAAACGCTGGGCCCTCGTTCTGAAAAACACGCAAGCGCAACTACGGCCACTAGGTGGCGACCGAGTTCAGAGTTTTGACCTTTCATTCTGTAGGGAGCCCCTAACCTGTTGCTTAAAGCACAACTACTAGCAACTAATTTTTTTTTTTAATTTTTAAAATGTTTATTTATTTTTGAGAGAGAGGCAGAGACAGAGCGTGAGCGGGGGAGGGGCAGAGAGAGAGGCAGACACAGAATCCGAAGCAGGCTCCAGGCTCTGAGCTGTCAGCACAGAGCCCAACGCCTGGCTCCAACTCACAAACCGTGAGATCATGACCTGAGAGGAAGTCAGTCACTTAACTGAATGAGCCACCCAGGTGCCCCTACTAGAAACTCGTTCGATTACAGAACCACAGAATTGGGGAGAAAGGGAGCTCAAATAGCCCTACCTTGCAGACATATAAGAGTAGAGCCTATTTAAAAAGTTTTGGAGAAGGTTTACTGCCCTGATTGAAAACCAGAGCAAAAGTGCAAACTCTTAAGCATGTCAGATGATGGTGGGGTCGTGATCTGGGTCGATATAGCAAATAGGACAGAATGAAGTTCAAGTGGACCAAAGTACGGGCACTCACAATGCCAGTCCTCCAACGCTGTGGCCACAGCCGACATTGAAAATCGATCTTTGCGTTCAAAATCTTATAACAATGGTTAACTGAGTTACCCAGGCACCCCCCCACCCCCATTTTTTTCCTTTTAATCTGAGTGTTTCTCTTACCAGGCTATGGACATGGAAGGTAGAAACAATTGCCTTTTTCTCTACTCCCTGTATCAAGAACAGTGTAGAGCACATAATAGGTGCTCAATAAATTCTTATTGACTTGACTAGATAAATGAGCAGATAAAGGATGGGTGGGAATTGTTTGTTGGAATTGGGGTCACTCTGAGGATGAGCCAGTCTAAAGCAGAATGTTCATTTTAAGGAGCTGTGAGAGGTAAGATTGGCTGGCTTAGAAGGTAGTTGAAGAGCTTGACAACCCCAGGCTGTGGATTTAACCCAACAATGAAAGATTTTAAGGTGAGGAATGTATTGAGCCCATTCCAGTATTGTAGAATGCTCTTGATGAGGAAGAGTTCCCTGATGTTTTATCTTTATTGCCTTCTGCAGACTGGAAATTGCCCCAACAAGTCTGGGAGAAGGGGAAGGAGTCGTTTGGGGTTTCCTCTTCTGATAGGGCATCCCCCTATGGCGCTCTTGTGCCCAGGCTTCCCCACGATCTCAGAGGAAGGGTGGAGATGGCGGTCAGTCCAGGTGCCAAGCCCCAGCTCTGATGGACTGTTGAAAGCACTGTTCCAACAGAAACTGAATCCATCCTTCCAGATCTGTTTTCTTTTCTGGGTTTCTCTCCAGAGAGCTCACATTGGGAAATGTTTATCTGCCCCAGATGTGAGGGGTAGGACTGGGTGGTGACTCTATCTGCTTGTGGCCAGCTATATTTGCATTCTCTGATGGTGTTGGCTGGGAGGGGTTGTGGGGTGTGTGTGTGTGTGTGTGTGTGTGTGTGTGTGTTTTGATATTACTGGTGTGAGGTGCAGTTTGGGAGAGTCCGATGCCTCAGTCGTGTCAATGTCAAAATTTTTCCAACGTTCTAAATGGTTCAACAATAATGTATACCTGATTGCCTTGAGCTTTGCATGTGATTAAGAAAAAGGGTTAGAATTAAGTCACCTGTATGGGGACCAAAAAAAAAAAAAAAGTGTTGAAATAGAACTGTGTTTGGAATAAAAGCCTCAGTTGTAGATGGACCAGTACAAATCTGGTTTATGATTGTGAAGGCCAATTCTATAGCTTTTAAGGCTCTCCTGACTTGTCATGTCTCTTGGGATCAATTTCTCCCTCTTCTTTGGTCAAAATGTGATCTTAGAAGGTGGAAAGAGAATAGAATACCACCACTAGTAGTAACGAATATTTCTTGAGTCCCAATTATGTGCAGAACATCGTGTTTTTCCCATTGAATGGGTTCTCATCTACCCATACAATAGCTCTGTGGATAGGTGCTCTGTTTTGCTGATGAGGAAACTGAAACAGAGAGGTTAATTAACTTGCTCAGGGTCACACAGCTAGCAAATGAGTGAGGTGGAATTCACAATCAGATATGCCTGACCACGGGGCTGTGCTCTTAATTAGACATACCCATAGAGGTCAAGTTGATTACTTAGTACTCCCTGCTTTCTTTATTTTTTCCTTCACTCCATTTCTCAATGCAGTGAGAAAAGGGCGGTGTGCTTTTTCCATCACAGGTCACCCACTGCCAGCGGCTTCTCTGTTATCAATTCTTAACTTTGAGAAAGGACACACTGCCTGCTTCAATTTTGTGTGACTCCACATGCATGGGTTCCTTTTCTGGACAAGGGTATTTGCTGTCTAAATCTTCTAAGTCTTGGCTATGCACCACATCAAAGGCAGTATAATGTCTTAAGTTGAACACTCATGGGTGTGAAAACCGCTCACCCAGGTTCAAGTTCTGGCTCTGCTCTTTAATAGCTCTGTGACCTGTGAAACTCTACAAACTGTAAAACAGGGTGATAAGCTACCTCCAGGTCTATTCATTCAGTCTCAGACATGAATTGAACACTGTGCCAGCTCCTAGAGATACAGGGTTGTGAGGTTTAAATGAAGTAATACAGGTGAAGTTGTTGGCCTGGGACCAGTAGATGGCAAAGCCTCAATAATAAAGTAGCCATAGGGGCGCCAAGGTGGCTCAGTCAGTTGAGCATCTGACTTCAGCTCAGGTCATGATCTCACAGTTTGTGGGTTCAAGCCCCATGTCAGGCTCTGTGCTGACAGCTTGGAGCCTGGACCTGCTTTGGATTCTGTGTCTCCTTTGTCTCTGCCCCTTCCCCACTTGTGCTCTGTGTGTGTCTCTCTCTCAAAAAGAAATAAAAATTAAAAAAAAAAAATAAAAAAAGTAGCCATGAATAGTAAAATAAAAGACAATTTCTCCAATTGCCATCAGTGGTCAGGAGACAGGGCAATGAGGTCTTTCCTGACTCTTAAATGATTTTTCATAATTGAGCACCTCCTTCCCCTGGCTGAGGCCAGCCCCAAATTTTAAATAATAGCCATAGCCAACCTTCTTGAACACTTCACACGCACTTTACATGTATTAACTCATGTATTCCTTACAATAACTCCCTGAAGTGGTTTGCATTATATCCTAATTTTATAGAGAAGAAAATGGAGGCCCAGAGAGGTTAAGTAACTTGCCTGAGATCCCACAGCTAATGAATGGCAGGGTGGGGATCTGAACTAGCTAGTCTGACTCCAAAGCCCGTGATCTCACTGCCTATTTTATTTTATTTTATTTTTTAAAATTTAATGCATATTTATCTTTGAGAGAGAGAGAGAGAGAGACAGAGACACAGACACAGACAGAGACACAGACAGAGACAGAGAGTGAGCAGGGGAGGAGCAGAGAGAGAGAGGGAGACACAGAATCCGAAGCAGGCTCCAGGCTCCGAGCTGTCAGCACAGACCCTGATGCGGGGCTCAAACCCACGAACTGTGAGATCATGACCTGAGCCCAAGATGGATGCTCACCCTACTGAGCCACACAGGCACCCCTCTCACTGCCTCTTTAAACTCACCACACTGGATTCGCCTCAATTTCTGTGTCTCCTGTCTACATAGCCAGCAGTGAGCAGCTCTAGAAGGAGACACATTCAGGCAGGGGATGTTTAGAAAGATGTTTTGGGGGTTGGTGTTCTGGGAGCCTGTTTTGGAGACCCTGTTTCTCAGGTTCTTATCAGGGATGCTTCACTGATCTCTACCTCCTTTATACCTCTTGGTGCTGTGTCTCTCTGAAATCACCTAAGACCAAATCAGGCCTTCCATCTGGAAAAGCAGTGCTTGTGGAACCAGGAGAGGAGGCGCTGGCTGGGGCAGTCATGGGGGAGGTCGGGCTGCCATTCTCGTAGCCAAAGGCCAGGGCACTCCTTCAGCACAGACTCTGCTCCTCTGCAAAGCTTTGTATCAGCTGCCTTGGGACTGAGTGATGCCTGGCCCATCTGCCTTGCCCACTGTCTTCTGACCACCCCAGGTTTGCCATGGCACCCCCTGCAGGAGCCACCTGCAGACTCAATGCTGGTGACCTGTGCAGTGGGACAGTGCCTCACTCAGAAGGACCCACACTTGGTTTAATGCCTTGCTGTCTCCATCTGGACATTCTTCATAAGTTTTTGGAAGGGGGCTCCACATTTTCATTTTGTGTGGGGCTTTGCGAATTATGTATCCAGTCCTGCTCAGACCCCACTAAGGCCTCAGGAAGCCTAAGGTGCAAGAAGCCTCCCCAGCAGGAAAATCTAATAGGGATAGCAGGGGAATGGGGTGGTCGTCGGGGGTGGGGGGTAGGTGGGGAGGAAGGTGAGACTCCAGGAAGGCAGGAGTCTTGATTTCAGCTGTGCTTGCCAGGTCAAAGCTCGCTTGTGGGCTGTAGGAAGCTGGAGAATGGATCCACATGTTTCTTTGGATGATGTGAACTTAGCAGTTTGTAATCCATTTTTGCAGTTATTCCCCATAAATAAACCTAATGTCCTCCGAACGTGCAGTTTCTTACCAGTAGGAACACTGGAGATGAGAGTCAGCACGATTTAAGCAGAGAAGTGAACCTAGTCTCTCTGCTCCTTAAGGTCTGTCCTACCTCTTGCCACAAGCCTGAGGCCCCATCCTTACTAAACCCTTCCTCCAAATCCTGTCAGTAAACCAAAGTCCTGCTCAAGTGCAAACGGGGTTTCTCCCTTCTCAAGAGCTTGCTGCCTCAATTAGTGGCCTTGCCCCCATTCTTCCCCATTCCCCCAGATTTCCAGGCCCCCTTTCCTAGCAGCCCTGTCCTCAGGCTGCAGACGGAGGGCTCCCCAGTACTTGTGGCAGTGCTGCACAGGCAAACTGAAGTGCGAATTCTCTGCTTTTTCTCCTGGCCTAGCTCCTACCCCTCAGCTGCCACCCTCCCCCTCCTCCTCTCCTGCTCTCTGGCTTCCAGCCCCTCAGCTATTAAAAGATGCCATTTCAAAGATGACCCATCAAGGTTTAGAGTTTCATCAGCCTTGACCTTGTGGAGACAGGACCAAGTTATGACTTCGGGGCCCTCAGGCACTTTTGCCTCCAGGAGCCCTTCCTCCATAAAAAATTTTTAAAAATCATATTTGAAGACCATGTTGTTATAAAGTATAATCCAACCTGGACTGTATTCATTTTCTAATTCTTTCAAAATATATCAAAACATTTTCATGGGTCTCTAAGGCATCCATGGGCTCTAGGATCTGTGCCTTTTGAGACTAATGCAGAAAATCAGTCCTGCATTGCAGAGCTAGGTAAAACGTAATAAAGCCTTTTTGAACTCTTTTCTCTCTGGGAAACCATACTACCTTTTTTGTTGTTGTTCCTTTTATTGCAAAAACAATATAGTTACAGAGAAAATTTTAAGGAGAAAAACCCACTCAATCTCATATCCTAACATAACTCTATATCTGTGATTCACTTTCTTGTCCGGATGGAAAGTTATTTTACACAGCTGACTGCTGTGTTTATGCAGTTTTGTATTCTGTTTGTTCCATTTAGTGTCATTTTATTGAAAGCATCTACTATGTTTCTGCAATAGTCTTCATAACCATCCAGTTGACTGATGGTGATTGACTTACTTTTCCCCTCTGCCGGTTTCCTGTTCTTCCCAGACTCTGCTTTCTCTGGCCTTTTTATAGCTTTTCTTCTTCCTTCCATGGATTTAGTCTGGGCCCTCCGATCATTCCGAATATCATGTCCCCTCCCCCCAGGAAGTTTGATTCATGGCTTCAACTATCTGCCTCACAGGGCAGAGGAAAATGGGCTTTGCAGACGGTTCTTCCAAATGGGAATTACTGTCCAATGGTCTATGTATATGACCTGCCGAATCCCTTTCACACTGCATGGCATTCACTTGAGAGCCAGCTAGGCTACGGGGCATGGTTTTGTTAAACTCTACATTCTAGTAATGGCGTTGGAGTTTCAGAGACTGAAACTACCTCGGCAATGCCCCAGTCCAACGTCAGTATTTTACAGACAAGGAGACTGAGTCTCAAAGCAGTTAACAGACTTGATCATGGTGACGGAACAAATGACCAGATATTTGACACTTTGTTCCTTGACCTCAAAGTTTCATGCTCTTTCCTCAACAGCATACTTTCTGAAATGGTTGAAGAGGAACATTAATTTATACTGGTGTACCATTAGAATGTGAATTTATATTATGGATTTATATTTACAATTATATGGCCCCCTATTTTATCTGAATATTATCTAATGGGAAGGAAAAAGAAAAAATCCACAGCAGTTTTTAGTGAAGCCCATACTTTGAAATTATCTGGGTCATTACAGGAGAAGTGCCTGTGTGATTCATGTTCTAGCCAATGGTAACTTCACTTGCTCTGTTAATGTTCACTTTGTCTCTATGGTCTGCTGACTCACTTATTACTAAGGTTTTCAACACTCAAATCAATTAAACTTACCTGTTCAGAGACAATGAGCAGACCAGTCTTTGTCCCAAAATAACCAGGCCAACACTGGTACTGGCAACCTGGAGATAACAAAAGCATTCATCACTAAGAGAACTGAGTCTGTTTTGGCCACAAATATAATTTCTTATTTGGAAACAAGAAACGGAAATATTGTAAGCTCTACTTTCCCTTTCATTCCTAGAGGTACTAGAAAAAAAATAGCTCTGAAAATGCTGTCTTGCAGGTAGGGAAACTAATTATAAAGACTTTTTAGGGACCTCTCTTAAATTATTTTTCTATTTTCCCCCAATCTCTCTTCTCCATGTACTGTGTGTTTGTGTGTGCATGCGTGTGTTTGTGTGTATATGTGTGTGTGTGTGTGTGTGTGTGTGTGTGTGTGACATTTCACTTGGATTCAGTGTATTAGTCCCTTTCCATTGGGTTGCATTTGGCCTTCATCTACTTAAATAACCTTCATTTCCACCCTTACTTATTTTGGGGAAAAAAGAAAGTCAGCTATCAATGTAGCTGAAGTGAGAGAATGGCACACAGGAAGCTGAGGAAGGGAAGAGGTATTTTACCACATAGGGGGTATGAGCACTGGCCTCCCACACTTCCCCCACCCCAGTCTCACTCCTGTCCTCACCACTAACTGACGCATCAGATCTCATGCCCCCAAACAATGAGTATAACACTGCTGGTCAGTGGCCCACTGTAGGAACATGATTTGTGTCCACAGTCTGCCCTCCTGCCCCCACAGGCTTACAAAGTCCATGGAAACGATGGCTTCAGCAGTTGAGTTCTTGGACTGGGTGAGGATCATGATGGAGGCAGGGATGTCCAGGGTGAAATTACCCGGTAGTAAACTGATCACAGGAGGCTCCGTTGCCATGACTCGTACCAAGAAGGGCTGGGACAAGATGTAGATCTCTGCGATCTGCCCATGTCCAGGGAAAGAAGTGGAGAAGGGGGTTGAGTTGATGAGGGAAAATCACCAGTTCAGGGTGGCATGGGGGTGATTAAATCTTACATCATGCAGTTAGGAACAAATCTCTTCAATAATTATAACAATACCACACAAAAAAACAAAGAATACCAGCAGCTGACACTCACTGAACATATCGGAATTATCTGGTTTAATCTTCACAAAGTCCCTGTGGGCAGGTTCTATCAGAATCCCTGTTTCATAGCTGAAGACAGTGAGTCTTCTTTGGTTAAATAATTTCCTTAACTTCCAAGTGAAGAACTGGGATTCAAGTCTAGGACTGTCTGACTCAAGATCCTTGCCCTAAAGCCAGGATGCTTTATGAACATCTCTCTGTCCTCAGAGAAAACCTGAACCTCTCAGTACACTATGTCCAAATGCAGGTGCTACAAAGGCATGAGATTAATAGTTGCTTCACTAAAGGTACAAACATGGGCACTATTCCCTCATTTCCCATTTAAGCCAATTATTTCAGATGTGTGGTGGAACCTTATGGAAGGGAGAGTTGATTTATTTTGTAAACTTATAATGCCTTTAATATTAACTTGTTTCATAAATATTTGTGGATATTTTATTAAAAGAAAAGAAAACTTCTTCAGAATGGAAAGATGGATTCAGGTTTGGACCAGAAAGGAATAGAAAGAACCCACGAACCTTCCAGTACTATCTAGGAGTTGAACCCTCAGCACTCACCCTGGAGAGCACATTGCCAACACCTTGAGAGTTTTGAACCAAATGGTTGGAAATCTGGAAAATCAAGACCATCATGTCACTGTAAGATTTTTACCTGGGTTCTCTTTTCAGGGAAAACCTAGATTTCCTTATATTTTTAGGAATCATGAAGTTGTTATACCAACAAATGATTAGTGTTTAAAGGTAGCTTATCATTTTATAGCCCAACCACAGGAAACCTGAGGCCCAGAGAAATAAAGTAACTTGTCCAAGGTCACACAAGAAGTACGTTCCTTTGGAGTAATTACTTTCCTTTTGAGTAAGTGCCTTTTAACTTTGGCAACACTGTGTATGTCATACATGTATGATCCATGTGTAAACATTCTACAGTGGTTAACAATAAGTCTTGTATTATTGCCCACCTTTTCAGAGATTACCGAGACAAAGGATGCTTAAGTAATTTATCTTCACAGATGAATGGTTTTCAAATCTGAAGCTAAACCTTTCTAATTCTTGGCACTCTATGGTAGCTGGTGTGGCCACACCTACTGTTTTGAACACAAGTTTTATAACCACTTGTATAATTAGGACCCATGGAATAAAAAGATTAGTAAGGGATGCTTGATAAAAGTTGTTGGTTGACTAGAGAGAGTATTCTCATCATAAAAGGGAGGGACACGGCAAAGAGAATTCATGAGTATGTGTACTATTACCGGTCATTATAGACAAATTGGTTGCAATTACCAACAATTTCTCCTCTTTGTGTAGGCATACACAAGCCATAATAACAATAAAGATAATAAGCAGCACTTATAGAACACTTACTCTGTGCTAGGCATTGCTCTGAATGCTTTACGTATATTTAAACCTCCCTAATGTCCACAGTAACTTTAGGAGAATGGAATTATTATTATCCCCATTTTCCAAATGATGACACTCTGGCACAGAGAAGTTAAATAAATTGAAAGTGCCCGAAGTCACAGGTCATAAGTGGTGAGGAGACTCCTGGCCTTATTTAAGATCATTCTAGAACAGTGGCCTGGTATCACACAAAACTGAAAATAGCAGAACTGGAAACCCAACAACTTCCAGTTAATAAAAACATTAAATTAACAATTACTTCATTCATGTGCTGGTAGGATTGAGGGTCTAAAAAGGCCCAGGAAATAGAAATTATGACTTAAAATTCCTGTAATGGGCTACTTATAATAAGACTAAATGCTGGCGCTGATTGTCACCATCCATTAACTCTCCTCACCTCTTTCGTGGAGAGAGTGACGTTGAAGGCTCCAGCTGTAAAGTAAGCAAAGGATGCAGATTTAAAGAAAAACTCAGAGATTCCAACATACAACATAGAGTCACCGCGTTCCGGCAGCACAAAAGGAACTGGCGAGAAGGGAGGGTCAGTGAGGTCTTCCAGTGGGTAGACGACGCCCTGTGGGAAAACAGAGAGAAAGATCAGTGTATCAGGTGAAGACTCAGACATACAGCACTAAAGAAAGTGGGTCCACTCATGTCAGAATCAGGAAAATACCAGAAACTCTCTGGGGATTAAAAGACGACAAGGCCTTCTGACTCCCTGACCAGCGACTTCGGTTTCGCAGCTCTGCTAACTTCTTGAGCAGATATGGACATGTCTGTCCACCCTGGGATGTGACCTTCTCCCAGAGAAAGGAAGGCAGGTGCATTTAACTGGATATACAGCTCTGCATAGTTCCTGAGGTGCCACGTAGAGATACCAAACCCTCCACCTTCAAACTCTATGACTAGCAAGCATCTGGGGTGTCACAGAGAGACTCAGAAGGACCCAGGACTCTCAATGGGTTAAAGCATCTTTGTGGCATTCCTAATGCTGCCCTCATTAGCTATGTGGTGTTATCACAAAATGTGCCTTGAGTAACATTTAACTGATTTGAACGACTCTCAGTAATTGAAATAAAAGTCAATATGCGCTTAAGAAAACAATGATATTAACTTTGGGGCAAAACTAAACATAAAGACAATTAATCTCTTTTCCAGAATCAGCAAACACCATTTTCATCTGTGAATGGGCCTGACCAAGGTCAACATCCCTCAGTTAAATCGACTAACTGGTCAGGAATAGGAGTATCGATACATATGATCTACTGATGTATTAAGTTCTGATACACATAGAACCACTCTACCTCCTGCCCCTTAGCATCGGACCTGTTCTCAGAGACAAAGGCATCATGATACTTTCCATGATACCCAACACTAGACGCGTGTTGGGTAATACAATCAAGAAAATGTTGAATAGTCTTTTGAAAGAGCATAAGCATGAGGGAATTGCTTGAAGGGAAATTAAATTATATGAAAGATACGTAGTTATATTTCCTTTTGCACATAATATTTGTTCTTTGAATATTGGCAGTTGAGAGCCAGGATGAGAATTCTGACGATGATAAAGTTACCTTCAAATTCAGGTCGATGTAATTCTCAGTAATTTCTGGAGAACTGATTAGGGAATAATCCAGGAGAGTATAGTTGTCTATCTTGGTTAAAACTAAATAACAAACAAATACAAAAGAAAATTTATATTAAAAGCATAGCATAGCAAATGATTATTATCCATCCAGAACAACATAATTTAAATTCTCTGTTATTCAAAATAATGATTATCCTTATTTATAAGTGATACATGCTCACTTTTCAAAACACAGGATAAGTAGGTGAGTCAAAAGAAGAAAGTAAAAACCTTTCTTTTTTTTTTTTTTTTCAACGTTTATTTATTTTTGGGACAGAGAGAGACAGAGCATGAATGGGGGAGGGGCAGAGAGAGAGGGAGACACAGAATTGGAAACAGGCTCCAGGCTCTGAGCCATCAGCCCAGAGCCCGATGCGGGGCTCGAACTCCCGGACCGCGAGATCGTGACCTGGCTGAAGTCGGACGCTTAACCGACTGCGCCACCCAGGCGCCCCAGTAAAAACCTTTCTTAATCACATTACACTGAAGGAAACATTAGTAAAATGTTGTTGGATAGCCTTTTTTTTTTTAAGTTTATTTATTTATTTTGAGAGACAGAGAGTGAGCAGTAGCAGGGGAGGGGCAGAGAGAGAGAGAGAGGGAAAGAGAATCCCAAGCAGGTTCTGCACTGTCAGTGCAGAGCCCCGACATGGTGAGGTCATGACCTGAGCCAATGTCAAGAGTTAGACACTCAACCGACTGAGCCACCCAGGCACCCCAAGTATAGCCTTTTATATACACACATACACACACACACGAACACAATGCATATATACTTCTTTAAAAAAAATTTTTTTTTCAACGTTTTTTATTTATTTTTGGGACACAGAGAGACAGAGCATGGACGGGGGAGGGGCAGAGAGAGAGGAGGAAACACAGAAATCAGGAAACAGGCTCCAGACATGGCCATCAGCCCAGAGCCTGGCTGTGGGGCTTGAACTCGACGCGACGATGGTGACCTGGCTGAAATCAGGACAGGCAACACTCGCCACCCAGAGCGCCTTCATGTGCCTTCTTTTAAAAGAGAAAATTAGACAGGGGTGCCTGGGCAGCTCAGTTGGTTAAGTGTCTGACTCCTGATTTCCGCTCAGGTCATGATCTCGTGGTTTGTGAGTTCAAGCCCTGCATCAGGCTCTGCACTGACAGAGTGGAGCCTGCTTGGGATTCTCTCTCTCCCCCTTTCTCTGCCTCTCCCCTGCTCGCTCACTCTCTCTCTCTCAAAATAAATAAAATTAAAAAAAACATTAAAAAAAGAAAATGAGACAAATAAAATTCACTTATTAATATTAAACTGCATATATTAGGCTGGTATAAAGAGAGGCTTTCAAGTTCTATATTATAGCCTTCTATATAGTTAGAACTTTAAGTTTTTACAATGAATATGTATTATTATTATAATTAGAAATAATCTTTTTTTTTTGGTTTTGTTTTTTTTTTTAAGGTTATTGGGACAGAGAGGAACAGACATGAACGCGGAGGGGCAGAGAGAGAGAAGACAGAATCGGAAACAGGCTCCAGGCTCCGGGCCATCGCCAGTGCAACCTGACGCGCGGGGCTCGAACTCCACGGGACCACGGATGCGTGACCTGGCTGAATCGGACGCTTAACGACTACTTCACCAGAGCTTGCACAGAAATAATCTTTAGAAAGAAATATTGAGAGAGACAGATAGACAGAGAGAGACAGATAGACAGGAATAAAATTCCCTAAGTTAAAGAGGCCAAGAAAATTTTCATGCAGAATCTATTAATTCAATTCATGTTTTGTATTATAATTTTCAGAGCACAGCAGAAGGCCAGGGGACCAGGGGACAGTAGGTGGGGTTCGCAGGAAGCATGATCTCAGAGTCTGAGGCAGGTTGTACACACAGGGGTGTGGCGTTCGGGGTTCCGGCCTGGCCTGGGAGAGCTGCTCTCCTGACCACCACCTTGTGTTCTGTGATACAAAGACCCCCTCCCTGTTCCAGAGGAAGGCATCTGAGAACCACATCTTCTCCTCTTGCATGCCATGCTTGGTTTATTCCATGGGTGGTGATAAGAAACAAGCAGAGATGAAGGGACTTGCAAGGTGAGGGCCTAATGCTGCCCTATGTCACTACAGTTTCTAAAATGCTTTTAAATTCACAGTCTGAACAGATCCCATCACCATGCTAGGAGGGGAGCAGGACCATGCCCATTTTACAGGTGAGACAGTGAGGTTCCCACGAATAGAGAAACTTGCCCATGGGAAGCTAGAACATGAGTCCTTGACCACTTCTTTCCTTACTACATCTTTCTCTTTTCTGACCTCCCCAATCTTCATCCATCTGCACCCACTCTGATCCACTTGTTCAACCACCATGCATCCTTTCATGGGCCTCATATTCATTCACCGAGTGCAGGTTAGGCACTCTTCCTAGTGCTGGGGACATCGTCAGAGAGTGCCTGTGCTTGTGGACCTCATCGTCTGAGGGAAGAGTCACACATATGAACAGGAAATTACAATACAGTGAGAGCAGGTCTAAAACCGAGCTCCTCTACAGACTTATGCTTACAGTCTACCCCACCTTGGTAAATGGCCATTCCACTCTTCCAATTTTCTAGTTGCTCAGGTGAAAACCTGGGGTTGTCCTTGACTCCCTTCATGATGCACATTCAGGGTGTCAGCAAATACCACTGTCCCTACCTTCAAAGAACATCCAGAACCTGAATGTGTCCTATATCTTCATTACTCCATCCAGGCCAACTGCCATCATTACTCACATAGGTCGTTGCAGGAGCCTCTTAAGTGGTCTCCCTGCTTCCACCCTTGCCCCCTTTCTGTCTGTTGTTAATAGATGGAAGCCAGAGTGAGCTTCTTACAATATAAGTCGGATCATGCAAGCCTTGCTCCGAACTCTCCCAAAGATCTTCATCTCAGACTAAGAGCCAGCCTTTATACTGACCTGCAGAGCTTGGAAGATCTGACCATTGCCTTCTCCCTTTCTGACCTCATCTCTGGCTGCCTTCCCCCCCCCACACCCTCTACTCCCAGTATGGCCTCCTCGTAGTTCCCCCGACATACTTGGCATGGTCCCACATGGGCCTCTGTGCTTGCGGTTTCCTCTACCTGGAGTGTTCTCCGTCCAGATCTGGGAGTGGCACGCTCCCTACTCCATTCAAATTCTTACTGTGATGTCGCATGCTCAGTGATGTCTTTCCTGGCCATGCTCTTTTAACAGAAATGCCTTTGCAGCTCCTTCTCTGCTTTATCTTTCTTCTTATCACTTATTGTATCAGTATCATAGATTTTACTTGTTATCTTGCTTGCTGTCTGTCTCCTCTGACTAGTCCCCATCTTGCTGTCTGTCTCCGCTGACTAGTCCAAAGAGGGCAGGGATTTCTGTCTCCTGGGCTTACTGCTGCATTCCCAGCACCAAGAACAGCATCCGGCCTGTAACAGGTTCTCAGGACACCTTTGGTGAATGAACAAATAGAGTGCAAAGAGAGAGATACACCCAAAGTATCATGTGAGCATAGAGGAGGCAAAACCTTGGGGTACAGGCTATCAGGTAAGACCTGCTGAAGGAGACTATGTCTGAGCTGAGCCTTAAAAGATAACAAGGAGTGGACAGGATAAGGGATGGCTCAGGAGCAGCAAGTAGAAGGGACCGGACCCCTCAGGGCTTAGCTCAGTGCTAGCAAAGAAATGGGTGTTCAATAAATATCTATTAAATGAATAAATGGGTGGAGGGGAGGGGAAGGCGGAGGGGGGTAGTGTGAGCCAAGCAAGGGCCTCAGGGACAGTAGAAGCAGTTTGATTGCTGGAGCAGAGAAAGGTGCAAGATGAGGCTGAGACAGGTAACTTTAGCCAGAGCATGGTGGGCAGGTCTTGTAGACCATGTTAGAGCATTTGGACTTGATCTGGAGGCAGAAAGGAGCCACTGAAGGGGTTAGAACGGGGTCAGGGGTGTATTACTCAGTCGAGATTGGCATTAATCATCCTGAAGAGGATGGATTTAATGCCAGAGCTGGGATTGAAGCCTGAGACAGTTTAATTCTCTGACCCACACCTAGTCGCCAGCAGCCCCCTGCCTCCTGCTCTGAAGTTGGTTAGCAGCAGAAAAGAGCAGGCCTGGGGCACCTGGGTGGCTCAGTTGGTTGAGCGTCAGACTTTGGCTCAGGATATGATCTCATGGTTCATGAATTTGAGCCCTGCGTCGGGCTCTGTGCGGATAGCTCAGAGCCTGGAGCCTGCTTCAGATTCTGTGTCTCCCCTCTCTCTGCCCTTCCCCTGCTCACACTCTGTCTCTATGTCTCAAAAATAAATAAAACTTTTTAAAAACTACATATAAAAAAAGAAAAGAGCAGGCCCTATACACAGGCTTCCCGTGGTTCAAATTTGTAGAGCGTAAAGCGGGCAGGAGAGCTGGGGGATCTCACATTGAAATGCAAACCTGGAGAGCATCAGAGTGTGAAGGTGGGAAGAGACCCATCCCAAAGAGGCAGTTCTAGGACTCACCCTCTATCGTGCTGAGGTTGGCATTCAGGGCTTCCACCTCATTCATGATAATGGGACACAGCTGGCCACAATAGGAATAAAAAAATTGCAGGTTATCATATTGCACTTGAAACCTCTCTTTATGGCTTAGGCCCTGCAAACAAAGGCCTTCTGGTTAGGAGACATTCTCCCTTTGGTCACCAGGACTTTTCCTGAAATTAGTCGATGCCCCTGGGCCTCACGTTACGTACGTATGGCTGGCATGTCAGTGAATGCTGGCTAAACTTCAGAGCAGCCAGGACGACACCCAGTTAGCCCCATAAAAGAATGAGGCCTTGGCTTTTCTCTCTGAGGCATGATGGGACATGTGCCTGGTACCTGCTAGTGCGGTCACACCTGAGAAACCTGCTGCTGGAACAGCTGCCTTCCTGCTGTGCCGTGCTCTGCTGGGAGAGGCTACAGCCAGGGCCTCCACTTTCCTACTTGGCTGGCTTGAGATCCCTCTGGTTGGCAAATCAATCCTGAATCAGACTCAAGCTCATCTTTACGAAGCCACCGTGTGCCAGGCGTGTGCCAAGCTCTCAGCATGGTGGTTACGAGCAGAGGCTCAGGAGCCTGACCATCTGGGGTTGGCACCCTTGGCAAAGTTGTTTGTACTCTGTCCACAGTTTCCCCATCTGAAAGATGGGGATGATAATTGTATCCACTCAATAATGTTGCTGTGAGTAGAAATTGAGGTGATCCATGTAAAATTGCCCAGCACATGGCAAGTATTCAGTAAATGTCAGCTGTTGTGTTTCAACCCCATTGCCTCACAATGGTGCAGAGAGATGGGTGCCACTGTTGCCTATTCACAGATGGGAAAGCCAAAGCTTAGAGAGCCTCCGGGAGTTGCCAGGAGTTACATTACTAGGATTGGAAATCTAGATAGTTGTGGCATGAGCATTCTTTTCTATATTCCCATGGCACAGAGGGAATACTAGAAGCAAAGCATCCGTGGTCTCTAAATCATACATAAACTCCAGGCCAGCTTAACTAGTGGCTTCCGTCAGAGGCCAAAGAACCATGTCTTGTTTCGAATGGAGGAACCATGGGGAGTGTGGGGCCTGTGAACGGGACAGCACTTTCCCAGTCACTCTCTAACACACATGTGCGCTGGCACTCAGCACCAGTCAAGTGAGGATGGAGAAAGACCGTGACACTTCGGAGTCCCTCGACCAGCTGGGTAATTCCCTTGGACGAGCTGCTGAATGTGTTTGCATGTTGATTTCCTCACTGACATTCATTAAGCACCTCCTTGCCACTTATACTGTTTCTGGAAATAACCATTCTTCTCCCCCACTCCTTACCTATCGAAATCATACGTGTACCTCAAGGCCCAGTTCAAGTCCTCAGTCCTCTAAAGAATACCCCTGCCCCCCCAACCCCCCAGGAAACTTTCAGGTCCTTTTGATGTAATCTTTCCATTTCTCTGAGCCTCTTCAGTTCAATCTACTGATCATGTAATTATGTATTAAATTCAAATACTCATTCAGTTATTTTTCCACAAGACTGAGTTGGGTTTTCCTAAAAACCTTTCTTACATTCCCAACAGCCTGTAGCCTAGTGCTGGGCATGCAGTAGGTACACAGTAAATAAACTCTTGCTGATTGTTGCCCCATCCTGTGGTGAGCGCTTGAAGGCAGGAATGCTGTTTTATTTATCTCTGCATCCCCAGCACTTACCACAGCGCATGGTAGGCATTTGCGAAACTTAAATCGCAGAGGATGTGTGTGAAAGTGCCTTGGATGATGCCTAGCATACAGTAGGTGCTCAATAAAGGTTTATTGAGTAAGAAGTAAGTAAAGAATGGCAGAACTGCTGCTGAGCATTTTACTGTGGCCATGTCACCTCTAAAGACTTACCATTTCATTCAAGTTCTTTAAAATGGGTTTCTCCATGGGCTCAGCGAAGGAGTTGTACAGGACACTGGGGAAGAAAGAAAATATGGGCTTATTCAGGAACTTTATCTGCCGGTTATAAACCTCTTCCTGCGCTGCTGGAGAATCCAGCCCCAGACTAGTGACCGCCTACCACGGTGCTATCACTCACCTGAGTTCTCCGGAAAATGAGACGTGGGCATGGTTCACTTGGGCATAGCAGTCTTGGAGCTTCAGGATTGGGTGACCAAAGTCATTTCGGGCAAGAACAATGATACCGGTGAAGTAGACCCCAGAGAGAAACAGATCAGCTCCTCCTGTGTCTTGGCTGTTGAGAGAAAAAGTGCAAGGTTACCCAGGCCTTGGCAGGGGAGAGAGGGATCATTTCTCTGACTACTCACAGCCTCTAAGCTCCTGGAGGGCTTTGTCACCTCTGGATTCCTGGCACCAATAATGGGTCAGAGCAGAGTAGGTGCTGAATGGATTTACTAAACAAATGAAGCAATGAATATGTCAGTGGTGACAGTGTTAGTTTAGCTTTTTTATTCTGAGTGCTTTCTGGTGCCCACAGTGGCTGAGCACCTATCAAGCACTATGTGTATACAATGCTTGGAGAGAGAGAACACTGAATAGCCTTATTTAGGACAGGCACTGATGGGGATGTGACAGACGTAGTCTATGAACTCTCTGAGGGACTGGAGTGTGTATTATTCATTCCCTTGTCTCCAGGATAAGCACACAGAATAAGCACTTAATAGGTGGCTGATGAGTCAGTGAAGAAATGAATGAACCCTGAATCTATATTACTTATGGCAGAATATATCATTCCTCTACAGTCTACAGGACTGGAGTTCTTGAGATGGGGATAAATGGTACTTGGTAGGCACTCAATAAATGGTTGTTGAATGACCAAGTGGATGAGTGAATGTGCCATTCTGGGGTGCCAACCAAGGCAGACCTAAGCATTACACCCAAGACATGTAGTAGGTGGTCTGCAAGCGTACCTTGAATGTGATACCTGCTTTCTCTAGGAGGGTGCAATTGGGCTCCAGCTGACTATTATCCTCTTACCTCCTTGTGAGGTAGGAAGGTCTCATCTCTTAATCAGTTGCCCCTGTGGATGGGGAAGTATGTGGAATCACCTGAGATCCTACAGACTCACTGAAGGTCTGAAATCTTGAGTACGTGTTCATTCCTTCTAGCTCTTAGGAAATCTTAAATGACATTTTGCTCTGCCTTCAGGGGATGGATGCTTTTCAGTCCTCCCACAACCTCCCCCCCCCCACCGCCAGCCCCCAACAGAGATATTCTGATTTAAATCTCTCTTGGAAAAAAAAAAATGCTCTTGAGAAAGACTGCTAATGGCTAAGGGAAATAAGCCTAATGTCAAAAACATCACCAAATTTATGTCCTTCCAGTTTTTGTTCCATTTCTTCCCAGAATAGCGGCAGACTTTTTTCAGTGGGACACTCACAAGAGTGAAGACTTGATCTCCCAGTCGGTGCTGATGTTGGCGGTGCCGTGGTTAGTCAGTGCCTTGATTCCCACCCCAGGCACAAAGGCTAATGAAGTATTTGGAAATGAAAAGGCATTGATTTTTATGCTGTAGAACAAGAAACAGAGAGGTCAGTGCATATCTTCTAACACTTCTCTAAGTGAGGCAAAAATCAGAAAGGAGGTTTGTGGAACCCCTAATTCCTGTAGAGGAAGGAACCTCAGGTCTGCGGTGCCTCTGGGCATTGCCTTCTAATTCCCCTTTGGTCCTTGCCAGGAAGCCCCTTGTTTCTAATTGAGGGGGAAGTGAGTAAGTTTAGAAACAAATGTGAAAATAATACATTTCTTTAGTTTCATTAAAGACAATACAATACGAGTACAACATTGCCATCATTATTTTTTTCTTTCAGCTGTTCCAGTGCTTCTCAACAGGGTGGGGAAATTAGTATTTTGGGTGGGACAATTAGTTTTGGAGAGGACTTTATATACATTTTAGGGTACCTGGCATATGTACCAACTACACGCCAGTAGTGCCCTTCCCCCATCACTGGACAATCGCAAGGGTGCCTTTCTCCTATTCCCAGATGCCCTCTATATGGACAGAATTTTCCCTAGTTGAGAAAGTTAGAGTCTTCCCTAGTTAGAGCAGAATCTTCCCTAGAGTATTAACTTCCCCTAGGATTCTCTGAGCATAAGAGGCAATGGGCTACAAGTAATCTACATAGGTAGATAGCTCATGTGTTGAGTGATTACTCCATGCCAGGCACCATGGTAAGCACTTTACGTGCATTAGCTCATTTTAGTCCTCATGATAATCCCATGAAGCTGTTGCTGGTTTTGCAATTTGCAATTCAGAGATGAGAGGATAAGGAAGTCATGAGCACTTGGTTGAAGTCATATGTAAGTGGTAGAACCAGACCTGGAGCCCTCCTCAATCTGTTTTCAGACTGTGTGCTTAACACCGGGCTATGCCACTTCATGTATTCCGCAAGGGGCACTCAACTTGGAGATGAGTTTTGTGCTAGCCATGCAAACTTAGGTAAAGCACTTAACCTCTTTCAGGCAATCACTCAGAGGAAGGTTTACTCATGGGTAGGCTGAGAAGACAAAATGAGATCATCTATGCATAACTGTGGCACAGGAGAAAGACATTGTTCTGAACCAAGGTTAGGAAAAATGTAAAAGGTAAATGTGATAGCTGATAACAAATGCCTATCTACTGTTTCTTGTATTTTGCATCCTTTCCTACCTGTTCTTTGTCACACACCCTGAGTCCCACTGTGGGAAGAGGATGGCAGAGATTCATTTAACAGATCTTAGAAATATTTTCAGTTTGGTACCTATAGGCCTAGCCCATTCTTTATATTCAAGCTATGGATGTATCATGGAAGAGATAATTTCTTTGTTGGTGGACACCTACGTTATTTCCAGTATTTCTGTGTTATAAACAATGACACACAGAACATTCTTACATGCTGTTTACATGTGTGTCTTTCTAGTGATGATGCTGAGAAGTGGGATTAGTAGGTCAAAGGGCATGCATTAAAAAAAAGGTCCTTGTAAATTACCTTTTAAAATAGCACTGCCCAACAGAAATAGAATGTGAGCCACATATGTAATTTAAAAATTTCTAGTAGTCACATTTTAAAAAGGGAAAAGAAATGGGTAAGAGTGATTTTATTAGTATTTTTTTTTTTTTTTACTTAACCCAACATAATCTAAAATGGTATCATTTCAACACATAGGCAATATAAAAATGATTAATGGGATATTTTGTTTTCCTTTTTTCAAAATAACTTCAAAATATGGTCTGTATTTTCACACTCATAATATGACTCAAGGTGGACACTGAATTATCGGTGTTATCAGAAACACTTGTTATCAGAATTATCAAGTGTTATCAGAAACACTTGACCTATATATGATTGGATAAAATATTCAACTGATAAACTTACATACGCAAATTGTCCCACACATACTTAAAAGCTTTTCAATAACTGAACTGAGTTCCGAGTTTTAAATTAAAATTGATTGAAATTAAATACGTAAAATTTCAGTGCCTTCATTGCACTAGTCATATTTCTTTTTTTTTTAATTAATTTATTTTTTTTTTCAACGTTTTATTTATTTTTGGGACAGAGAGAGACAGAGCATGAACGGGGGAGGGGCAGAGAGAGAGGGAGACACAGCATCGGAAACAGGCCCCAGGCTCTGAGCCATCAGCCCAGAGCCTGACGCGGGGCTCGAACTCACGGACCGCGAGATCGTGACCTGGCTGAAGTCGGACGCTTAACCGACTGCGCCACCCAGGCGCCCCACACTAGTCATATTTCAAGTGCTCAGTAGCCACACGTGGCTAGTGGCTCCTGTGTGGGGAGCACAGATCTGAAAGTACTGTACCAGTTCACCTGCTCCCACTAGCAACGCATGAGGATACCTGTTTTTCCTCATCTTCACCACACTTCATAATATATGATTCACCCTGGATTTTTCTGCTGTGGGATTATCATCACTGTAATTAAATCATTCATTCTGTAAATATATCATGTCCATCTCTCTTACTGGACATTAAGGGCAGGAGATATATCTGTGTCATTCACTGTAATATCCCCAATCAGTAAAACAAAGCCTTGGTATCTAGCAGTAGGTCCTCAATAAACACTTGTTGAATGGCTTCCTTTATTAACAACTAGAGCATTTGCCAGGAGCTTTACCTAGATTACCATCCTTTTCCCTACCCCATGCCCCAAAAAACTCATGATTTTATAGAATATTATCCTTGATAGCAGGGAAATTATTACTCCAAAGGGTTGGAGCCAGCAGGGAATTATCAGTGGATTGATAAAGCCTTGGGGCAAATTGTGAATCACAGATAATTCCTTATAAAATCTTGACTCTCTGCTTTATCTTTAAGATTGACCTCCAGATGGACAAAGACATCTTCTCTGTACACCGTCTTTGGGGCTTTTGTTGGCAACTGCGGCAGAGGTTGCCGGTTGTTGTCTGAACAGCCATTTCCCCTTCTTTCCTAACCGTCCCTGAATTTGTTCAGGATGTCAAAGGTGTCTGGTTAGAAAATGAATATTCCAGTCCCTCTTGCTAATAAGTATGGCCATAAGACTAAGTTCTATTATTGTATAGGCAGAGTATTATTAGAGCAGGGCTTCAGAAAAAAACTCAGTGAAGAGACTAACCCAGCTTACAAGAACCCTTTCACCCTTGCCTGTTGTTCCCTCTCAGGCTTGACAAACGGATTTGATGGCTGAGCTGCAGTGGCCATACTGGACCATGAGACAACTTTGAGGACAGAAGCCAGAAGTAAGGATGGTGGGGCAGAGAAATACAAAAAGCCTGGGTTCTGATGAAATCATGGGACTTCCAAAGGATTTCTCTAGTCTTACTTTTGAGCTTCTTATGTGTGGCCTATTTCTACGACCTCTGAAACCTTAACCAAACTTTACTAAAGTAAGGAAAGCCTTGATGAGAGTAGATTTGTTTTTGAGACTGTGGTTGAATCCTACATCTAGGTTTAGGGTGTGGGGTCAGCAATAGGATGGACAAGAATTTCACTTAGAAATTCAAGGGGCAAAGAGTTCTCATTTTAGGAAAGAGGCAAGGACATGGGACTCTGACCATATTCATCAGACACAACACACAAAACTAGTGTGCAGCAGGGATATGACTTAGACCCAGGTGTTCTGACCCAAATGCCACAATCTTTGTCAGCTTCATGACCCCTCTTTCTTGGGTCATTCATCTGATAAGCCTCTTACCAAATTTGGTTTACCTTCTACTGTGCAGGTCCTGCTGTCACACCAGAAGACGTGGTGGCATATCCACAACCCTAAGGTTTTAAAGATTAATTTCATGGTTAAAAATGTTCTTTTTTACTTACTTTGAAAAATTGTAGTTCACATAATCAACCTTCAGAAATTCCAGAGATTCAGAACCCTTTAAGTCTGGGATGTTTTTTTCCTTAAGCATTTGCTCAATCATCTCCATCCCAGCTTGAACACCTATGAAGGAACCAAAGAAAGCATTTATTGATCATGCCAGAGATGATAATGGCATAGCGCCATTAAACATACGCATGAAATTTACAGAGTACGTGCTCTTAGAAACTTAGAAAACAGCGACCCTACAAAGTGGATGTTATTGTCCCTGTTTTACAGGTGAAAGCACTGGTCCTCAGAGAGGCTAGTGAAGACCCCAGGACCCCAGAACTAACTGTATGAGAAATTCTCATTATGTAATCAAGACTAAAGGCCTGTTACTACAGGCAGTGTGAGGGGGAAAGTACAAAATTATTATCATTATTATCCCCATTTTAAAGATGAACAAACTGAACCTAAAAGGCGTGAATTCGCACCTAATTCACACAGCCAAGAACTGGGAGCCCAAGAGTGAAATCTGGGTGGTTTGGTTCCAGACTCCATGCCTTATTAGGTAGTTATTCCACATTCTCCCTTTTCCCCTAGATTCTTTAAGCTCAGCAACAGCATGGGCTGTTGGGAGCTCGTAACCCTCCTGAAATTCCAGTAAAATACCATGAATAGGTTGTGTGTGTATGTGTCCATTTGTATCTCATATTTCAGGGGAGAGGGTCCATGTTTGCTTCAGACTCTCAAAAGATCCCGGGACCCCAAAAATGTCCTCAGTAAGCCCTGCTTTTGTGCAATTCAGGGATAAACCTGTCCCAGGTTTACATGGTAGTATCCCAGGACACATTTTTCTGAGTTCACGGAGAGAAAGAGCCCTTTTCTACATAAAGAGCTTGAGGAAAGTAACTTACATAGTAAATGAAGAACAGGATTTTCATTTTAACCTTCTTTTTAAAATTTTATTTTTATTAAAAAAATTTTTTTTTAACGTTTATTTATTATTGAGAGACAGAGAGAGACAGAGCATGAGCATGGGAGGGGCAGAGAGAGGAGGAGACACAGAATCTGAAGGAGGCTCCAGGCTCTCAGCTGTCAGCACAGAGCCTGACGCGGGGCTCAAACTCAGGAACAGTGAGATCATGGCTTGAGCCAAAGTCAGACCCTTAACTGACTGAGCCACCCAAGTACCCCTTCATTTTAACCTTCTTAAGGAGGAAGCTTTGCCCTTATGCCTTATTTTGCAGCTTAAGCTCATTTCCACTTAGGCTGTCCTTGTGGAGACGGAGAAGAGCAGATTTTATCTTCTGTAATACCATGAATAATACTGTAATATAGGGATGTAGGGGTAGAGTGTAAAGGATACAAAGATGGAACCAAAGGCACTATCAGACAGCTTAGTTTAGAATCCTAACATTGTAACTAGCATTGCAGGACTCTGCAATTTACAAAATCTTGCTGCCCCTTGCTTTCCTCATCTGTAACATGGGAACATTACTAACTGTGGAAGCTTCTGTTCACACATGTGAAAATAACAGTAATTGATATTTGTTGGGCATTTGCTATTGCCAGACCCTCTTCCAAAATTTATGTCAATTCATGTGTTTTCCACAATAGCCCCATGCGTAGGAACTATTATTATCACCACCATTTTAAGAAATACCTTGAAGGTACTACTGATAATAGGGACATAACATTTTTCTGGAAAAATGTGGCAACATAAATATTTGATGAATTTTAATAAGAATAGCTAGTTTGTGTGCTTATATGTGCCAGGACTGTCCATACTCTACACATATTCTCTCCTTTGATCCTTATGGCAACCCAGTGACATAGGTATCATTATCCCTATTTCACATAGGAGGCAGTTGAGGCTCAGAGAGGTTCACCAGCTTGCCCAAGAGCTCACAGGTACTTAGTGTCATTATTGACAGTTTGGAGGAATAGGGAGCAGAGAACAAAGTGTAGGTTTTGAAATCGGCAGAGCAAACCTGAGATCTGATCTTGCCTTGCCCCCTTACTGGTGTGTGACTTGGGGAATTTAATTCAGCCCCTCTGAGGCTCAGATTCCTCCTCTGTAAAATGACTATCCCTTCTTTGTAGGGTCGTTGTTGGGATTAAATCAACCCAGAGCCCATAACACACATATCGAAGAGCCTAGCTATGATAGAGGCTCAAGAAATGGTTCTGATAGAAATCATAGCCAAGAAATGGTTCTGACTTTAAAGACTGTCCTTCTTGATTCTATGCCATATTTCCACAGATGACCCCACATGATCCTCATGTTATTACACAGGGGCACCATTGTTGTCATCCCCCCATCCTGTTTTCCAGAGGAGAAAACCCACTGGCCCAACACTATGTATTGAGGAAAGGGGCAGAACTGAATGAGATTCATACCCATGTGGACTGACTAGTTCTGTTCTTTTAATTGCTCTGATCTTGAGGGTGGAATAAGCTGTTTTCACAATTTTAATACAGTTTCAAGATATCTATTTCTGTGCATATTAGTATATTAATAGAGTAACAAGATACACATATATGTACATATATACATGTGGATACACACGGGAATACCTGGTATGTAATTCTCATTATAGCCAGCTCCTATAACAATCATACAAGATGGATAATTTAAGATTCCCTGTGCCACATGAGGTACTGGGGGAAGGAAGGACAAGGATTTGCCACAAACTCAGTCTTTCCTTCCTCCATCACTCCCTTCCTTTCTTCCATTATTTGTATTTTTTTTTTTTTTAAGTGTGCTCCATGCCCAGCATGGAGCCCAGTGTGGGCCTTGAACTCACAACTCTGAGAACAAGACCTAAGCTAAGATCAGTAGTCAGACGCTCAACCAACTGAGCCACCCAGGCACCCACATCCTTCTTGTACTTCTTTTCTGGTGTAGCAGGTGAGGAGTTTCCTGGTTACACTTTGCTATTTCTGAGTGAGACTAGCAGTGCTTTAGTTAAGAAGGGATGGAGTTTTCTGTTGCTCCTATTCGGCTAACCTCAGGCCAAAATTTATAGGAGAAAACTCGGCCTACACATTTTGATTTTGCAGTCCCTCTGCTGTACACAATCTGCCTTCGCCCCCGCTCTGCCCAACATTTATAAACACCTCTGAAGGGGTTTTTCTTCATCTTTCAGCATCTCAGGCCCCTTTTTGCATCTAATGAATGCAAGGAGCTTCTCTCAAGAAAAATACATGATCATCATCCACATTAAATTTGGCACAGTTTTAGGGGACTCTAAGTTCTTTTTGGGATCAAGACCTTTCTGAAGCTCTAAGCTACTTCTTTCACTCTCACATCTCCTCCCCTCTGTCCTATGATGTATCCTCCTTTAGAGCAGAGATGTTCATTGTATGTGCATGGGGGGTAGACGTGGGGGAGGGGAGAGAATGAATATCTGTGGCTGTGTTTGGATAGGTCTACCATCAAGGTGATTGTTTTCTGTCTTATTTTATTTTTTTTAATGTATATTTATTTTTTAAGAGAGAGAGAGAGAGTGTGTGTGCACAAAGTGGGGAGGGGCAAGAGAGGGGGACAGAGGATCCAAAGTGGCTCCTTGCTGATAGCAGAAAGCCCAATGCGGGAGGGACCTGAACTCACAAACTGCGAGATCATAACCTGAGCCGAAGTTGAATGCTTTACCAACTGAGCCACCCAGGTGTCCTTTTATTTTATTTTTATAAAATGTTTATTTATTTATTTTGAGAGAGAGAGAGAGAGAGCAAGCATGCATACACGTGAGCAGGGGAGAGGCAGGGAGAGAGGGAGAGAGAGAATCCCAAGTAGGCTCTGCCCTGTCAGTGCAAAGACTGAGGTGGGACTCGAATGCACGATCCATGAGATCCATGAGCTGAGATGAAGAGTCGGATGCTTTAACCGATTGAGCCATTCGGGCCCCCCAATATGACTGTTTTTTAGACACCACTTCCTTCCCAGCCATCTTAGCAGCCTCTGTATTAGGGGCTGGATCACCTGCAGTAAAGCTTGCCTCAGTCATGAGACAGTCTAGTATGAGCTTTCAGGTTTGGAGGGCTGAGAGCACCCCACTCACCATAGTCCAGAGCCCGCTGAGTAGCCCTAGCCTTGATGCCAGGGTAAATGGTCTGGGCGGATGAAGTGTAGAGATTCCACAGGAAGAAACATCCCCAGAGGACTCCGACTATCTTTGTATGCATCTGCAATCAACCAACATTTATGGTTCCTTTATTATTCTTGACTTTTTTGTTGGTTAGTTCCATCCAACTTTTCTATGATTTCTTGTTTCATTGCTTACTTCCAAAACTCACTCTACCCACCCATCTGTCCATATATCCATCCATCCATCCATCCATCCATCCACCCATCCACCCATCCAGTAGTCATTTATTGAACACACCAGAACATGTGCTAGGTGCTGAGGATGCAGAGATGACCTATGTGTGCTCTCAACCTCTGCTTCCCACAGACTAGTGGGTGAGTCACACACATACACACAGATGATTATAACTCAACACAACATAATGCAATGCAACACAAGAGCCTTGCCGTAAATGTAACAACTGTGATATGCCTTGGAAAGGATAATGGGGTGGAGATTCGGGACTCTTGACAGTTTTAGAACAAGAGTCAGTAGTTTAGAAAGGTGGCTTCAGTGGGTGTGAAACAATCACTCATCTGCTTGAAGACCCTTAATGACTCCCCGTTGCCCACAGGACAGGGTTTAAGCTCGCAGGCCAGCCGCAAGGCCCTGCCCTTCTCTACACCTCTACTTCCTCATTGACTTCCTTTCTTAACACACATGCTTGGCTTACCCCAGAGTCTAGTACAATGCTTGGCACATAGAAGATACACACACAAAAAAAATCTTAAATCAACATCTCCAAGGAGAGGGACCACATGTTTTCACTGCTATATTGCTATTGCTTGGCATATATTAAATATACAATGTATACTTATTTAATTAATGGACTCAATTAATTAATGCCAGCCCATTTTCCTGATGAATGAAGCACAGGTTACCAACAGCAACAGTGACATGGGTTATTTTAATGACAGCGGAGTGAGTAATACATTCATAAGTTTTGTTTCTAGTTCTGGGAGTTTACAATCTGGCTGAGCGACTATTGCTGCATTCATATGTGCCAAAGACCCACAGGTGACAGATACCCACTGAGTTAGCATACAAATGTGAAACAAACCAGGGAAGCATTTGTGGGGGTGTCAAGGAAGAGGAAGGTGTGGGAGTCATGCAAAAGGAGGGGTCAGGACAGGTGAGCAGGGAAGGATTTAAAGAAGGGCTAGAATTCAGGAGCAATCTGCATGAAGGAAAAGATCATTGAGAGGGGTGTGTGGGAGGTGCTTGGCCAAGACAAGCAAGAGGTTTGATAAAGGGGATTGTGTGGGCCTTATGGAGAAGGCCATAGAGGTGGGAATAGAATGATGTGGACAAAGGGGGTATTCCAGAGAATTTACTTGAGAGGAACAGAGCAGTCTGACCAGGGAAAGGAGTGTCCAAGCAAGGCTGTTGCTAGCCTTCCTCGGTCTTTTGTTTGTAATGGGAAAAGGTGCCTTTGGAGATATACCAGCCTTCTGGCACAAAGGGGCCAGCAGAAAATGTTTTAGGAAAATCCCACACCAGTGTGCCCAGCTTGGTGGGGAGAGCAGGAGCTGCCCCCCCGCCCATCCCTTAGGCTGGCATTTTGTCTAGTGCACAAGCTGCCCAACCTACACAGAGGACCTATGTTCAGATTAGTGAATGGTCATGTGGGTATTTTGCTGGAGGGCCATGAGGTTGAGAACTGGGATCTTGACCTCTCTGTTCTGTGGTGCGTAAGTCCACCTTTAGGTGTGAGAAGAGCCTGGCTCAGTCAACATGTTTACATTTCTCACCCAATCTCCCAGGAGCCCTCTCCATGTACCCCACTGTCCAGACAAACTGGACTCCTGGTTCCTAAACACCCACCATGCTTCATGCCTAATGCCCACGCTTATACTGTTCTTCACTTAGGCTGGCAGAAACCCTGTACATCCTTAAGGTCCATTTTATATTTTTTTATTTTTAAAAAAATTTTTAATGTTTATTCATTTTTGAGAGAGAGAGAGAGAGAGAGACAGACAGACAGAGAGAGACAGAGACAGAGAGTGAGTGGGGGAGGGACAGAGAAAGAGAGGGAAACACAGAATCCAAAGCAGGCTCCAGGCTCTGAGCTGTCAACACAGAACCCGATGTGGGGCACAAACTCACGAACTGCGAGATCATGACCCAAGCCACCTGAGCCGAAGTCGGACCGACTGAGCCACCCAGGCGCCCTTCCTTAAGGTCCATTTTAAACACAGCCTTCTTCCTGAAGCATTTCTGACTTCCCTAAATTAATTAATCTCATTTCCTTCTGAATGAGAAGGAATCTTTGGTCAATATATATATTTATTCATGTGTGTACATTTATTTTCTCACATATTGTCTGTCTCTCCTACCAAAATGTAAGTGCCATGAGGGCAGAGACCTCATCTGGTTTGGAGGTCCTAGAGCCAGCTTAATGTCTCAGATACAGAGTGATTGGTAAACATTGGTAGAATGAATCAATGAATTCTAAATGAAGGAAGAGTCCTTACCTCGCTCTGAATTATAATACAGTTCTTTGCAGAGGCGATTAACAAAGCATTTGTACACTAGTGAAGCATATGCACCCATTAAAACAGATGTTGGCCAGAGTCTGGGGGCAGGGTTGGGAGGGTAGGTACTGGATCATGGGGACAGGAGAAGTCTTGGATGGACTGGCCAGTGTGGTTGGGGTACTGGGGATAGGGTGAGGGACTCACAGTGACTATTTACTATTAGAAACTGAGGCATTTCAATATCTTAACACTGCTATGGCCTTATGCACTCCGTGTGATGTTTCGGCCCTATAGAGTTGATTTGGTTGTACAGGACAATGTACAGAAAGGGGCAGCAGTGCTGGGGGCAGGGCTACAGAGGGGTGGCTTGGGGATAGTCAGGGTGCAGAAGACACCAAGGGAAGCACAGAGCAATGACAGTAAGAGCCAAGAGGGAGGGACTCGAGTAGGGGGCTGATCTCTGGTCAGAGAGTTGGAGGAAATGTGGGGAGTAGGACAAGCAAGTGGGAGCATATGGTGATATCAGCATCTTATACTCAGTTAGAATGGACTCAGGGGTTAGGTCCTATTGCTATCTGTACTAGGCCCTCTTTGATCCTTGTTGTCCAGGGGTCTCAGAGAGCGGGACAGGCAGAGATGGATGAAGCTATGGGGGTGAGGGGAACACTCCTGGGGCTGAGGTTAATGACTATTCACCAACTAGTATGAAAGTATTTCCACATTTTAACAAATGGTGAAGCCATGCTGATGTGCAGGCACACTGACATGGCTGTGGGCAAATAATTGTAAATGGATATGCCATATACCTAGGAAGGCACGAGAGGGATTTTTTAAAAAGAGGGAAACATTTTCAAAGCAGTGGAAAGCAAAAGGAAAAAAAAATGTTAGACCAAAAATTCTATACACACTCCACTGTATCCAGATTAAGGTTGAAATGATCTCTCTGCCTGGCACATAATAGGACCTCAATAAATATTTTCTAACTGACCAACTGACTGGCTTACAAGATTTTGGTTAACTAAGAAAGGTTCTAGAAAAGTGTGAAAAAAAATGAGAAAACCAAACCATCATCTAAATAGTTCTTCATTACTACAGTAAAAAAGCACAATAAGCCAAAGCAGAGTTGTTACTTGTTAATGGAGTAACAACTAAAATAATAAATTTGTATTTTTTTTTTTTACCATTTACAAAACTCACAACAATTCTTGGAGGTAGATGTTACTATTATCCTACCTCCATCTTAGGCATATGGACACAGAGACTTAGACAGTCTGGTGACCTATCTGAGACCATGTAGTAAATCAGGCACCTGGCAATCACAACTTGCTCTTCTGGCTCCAGATGTTAGTGTTTATGAATTTAATTACTTGATAAGTGCTAGATTTTTCATTTTTATCTGAGAACTTAATTTTTTTTTGACATCTATTTATTTTTGAGAGAGAGAGAGAGACATACACAGAGTGTGAGTTGGGGAGGGGCAGAGAGAGAGAGAGAGAGGGAGATACAGAATCCAAAGCAGGGTCCAGGCTCTGAGCTGTCAGCACAGAGCCCAACATGAGGCTTGAACCCACGGACTGCGAGATCATGACCTGAGCCAAAGTTGGTTGCTTAACTGACTGAGCCACCCAGGTGACCCTTCATCTGGGAACTTTAAATATGAGTTATGTGATGCCATTTTCTATGTAGAAAAAAAATCATTAAGCATCTGGAAATTTTCAAGCACCAAAGTGCAAATGCTTTTGTATTTTCTCGGGCACAAATGGAATTTTAAATTCCCTTCCAGCAGCAAAAATCTATTTATCTTCTTGGTTAAAGGACGTTTCTGAAATGGTCTACTTCGATGGAGATCCAGGAACTCAAAACTGCACATAGAAAAACATTTTTCCTCTAGAAATTTTATGAGTGAATGAAATTACTGGGCTATAAAAGGATAGACTGTATGTAACTTTCAGTTGAATTGTTTGTTAGGATGATAATTTATGGACAGGGGAGGGAAGGAACCTTGTCAAGCAAGGAGATGAGTCCTAAAAGGTTAAGTAATTTGGCTGACAAGTAAGGGCAGGCTAAATTGCCCTAAAAGAAGGAATCCAAGATGACTTATATACCCTGCCAACAAGTTACCTATTTTTTTGGTTCTAAGGATTTGTTTCTTTCCAAGATTCAAAACCTCATTAAATTTCTATACCAATGAACAGACAGAATAACACTTCTAAATTAGATGGCCCTACCATAGCAACATTTTTCTAGATATGTCCCCTGAGGCAGGGAAATAAAAGCAAAAATAAACTATTGGGACTACTACAAAATAAAAAGGTTTTACACTGTTGAGGAAACAATCAACAAAACTAAAGGCAACTTATAGAATAGGAGAAGGTATTTGCAAGTGATATATGTGATAAAGGGTTAATATCCAAAATACATAGAGAACATATACAACTCAACACCCCAAAACCTTACAAGAATCTAATTAAAAAATGGGCAGAAGACATGAATAGACATTTCTCCAAAGAAGACATCCAGATGCCCAACCAGACACATGAAAAGATGCTCATTACTGATCATCAGGGAAATGCAAATCAAA